AATTTCACATTTTATTAAAGGTGGTTTTCCTTGTGATCCATCTCTTTAACATGAAGATTTGTAATGTAATGTGTAAAAGTGTAATTTATAACAATGAAAATGAATTATGAATTGATTAAAAAGTTAAATTAGGAAAATGAGTAACATCTTAACAATGTTGTAAATCTAAGAACTTAATGTATTTTTGCTTATTAAAATAGAGCTAAGAATTAATCTTTAGTTATCTAAAAATCTTTTAAGTCTGGATATTTATATTTTGCCATTTACATATTTTGTGTTCTTTTAAAAAAAAACAGATTTTAAACAATCACTGTTCAATATATAATCCCTCTGCGTCCATGAGCATCCTATCAAAACAATTAAAAAATCAAGATCCAAAACACAAGAGTCAAAATGACCTCTTTAAATGGCTTCATGAAGATGCCATGCTTCTTCCAAAAGAGTATTTCTATGTGGTAATTCCTGTTAGGCATTTCTCAGGAAATTTACCAAATCCTGAGAAAAACCAGTTGAAAAGTTTGGAACATGGGAAGAAGTGTTATAATTCTCTGAGAATTTAAGGTTAACAGTCAACTACAGATATTACTGGTCCAAAGGAATCCAGTAGTGTCAATTGAAAGGAAGAGCAAGGAATGCTGACATGCGGAGCTATAGGTTAATGTGGACATTTCTGGGAATAGAACAGGACCATGCAGAAGAAAAGTGGAACAATCTAATTAGTCAGTCAGTCTTGCTCTTGTGGTCATGATACAAGTGTGTTTTATGGGCCTGTCTGTTATTAATGGTGAGTTATTCTTACAAATAGATATTAGTAAGTTTATACACATAGTATACTTTGTACAAAATCCTGTGAATCATATTCCATGAAATAAATTTTGAAAGTAAGGATGTCCTTAGATTGGCAATTTCAGCATGTGATTCTGTGTAGGGCTGTTAACCTCACTGGATGTTTCAAATGTTACATTTTTATATTATCCAATCATGTTTGCTGGCATTTTCCAGTGTCTGAATATTCACCATAGGCTACAGATCTTTGTAAATACTTTAACAGAGAAATGCAGAGAGAAAAGATGTGACTATTAGTGTGAAATACTGCTGTGTGAAATCAGAAAATGATATAAAATCTGAATTAGTAAAAACAATATTGATGTCAAGAGCAAAACCCAAATCAACATAAACAGTTTTTTTTTTACTGTTGCAAAAAGGGGAGTTTAAATTATGCAACATGTACCCTAATGCTCTGAGTGGAAGATGCCTTTGAGCACACTCTTAATAATTTGACCAAAGTCAATGCAAAAGAGAAGACATTTTTCTACATTTGGGATATGTGTTATGAAACAAAAATCAAGAATATTGGACAGAGCAATTAATTTGTATATTTAAACATTTTAAGACATTAAATATTAAATATTTGTAGAATTGTCTTTCAAAATCAATTGTTTTTGACATTTAGTGTTTCCTTTTAGTGTTCTCTATGATGAAATGTTTATGCCAGGTAGAAATAATTGTTACATATTATTGAAATGTATAGCCTTGTCAAAATTATGATTCATAACAAATAAATAACCATGTATTTTCTTAAATAAAATGCACTGACAAGAGGGAAGGAGGGAGGGGGCGGGGAAAAGGAAGGGAAGGGGAAAGTCAAGGAACATATAGTAAGGACTCATGGACAAAACCAAAGGGGAAGAGCTGAGGGAGGGAAGGAGGGAGGGGGCAAGGGAAAGTGGTGGGGGGGAGGCAGAGACAAATGTATTTGAAAAAATAAAATAAAAAAAAATGCACTGAAACTTTCAATATAACCATACCATAGAAAAACAATTCACTCTTTGTTATATCATTCATTATTATTTAAAATATATAAAATATTGTGAAAAATACAGCGTAAGTTATAATTTAGGGAATTCTGGGAATGCAGTTTATTTCTCCTGAATCCTGGGATTAATATATGTTGGATATTTGGAAACACTGCTTGTTTCAGACCCATTCTGAATAATTGAGTTATCATTAAAGATTATGTATTGTTGTTTAAGTACTGTTGTAAACTCTTTCTCCTACATTATTATATTTAAATTGCACAACAGTGATAGGAGGAAATTCTTAAAGTATCTCTAATAAACTGAGGCTGTCAGACTCTCTTCAAATATTTCTAGCTGATTAAGAATGGAGTTGTGCTTTGAATCCAGATCTGTTCTGACTTCAAAGTTTCAAGTGTATGTTCTTTTCACTGATCAGAATGTCTATTTAAAACAAGTTATTCACTTAAAATGTTGTATAGATGCATTAATTAAGCTATTATGTAAAAAATTTTGACTAGAAGTAATGCTAAAGAAAAGTAGAATGGATTTATATCAGTGATTTTAATACTGATTTTATTTAAGGTACTTCACATGTACATGGACATAAACACAAATATTTAATGAATGATGTACCAGGAAATAGTAGAATGATTTGATGAAGTGGTATTTTGGTTTTGAGTTTTGTGTGTTGTTTTAAAGATCACATCTGTATCTAATCATCTTTGAAACCTAGCAGTAGTCTTAGTTTAGAACTTTTCTGTCCAGATCAGTAGCCACTAACTCCATGTAGCTTTTTAAATTTACGTTGTTTAAAATGGAATAAAATTACAATTCAGCTTCTCAGTTGCACAAGCAGCATTTTAACTATTCATTTATCATATATGGCTTAGTGGCCACTTTATTGTGCAGATATAAACTGTTTCTATCACAACAAAGTTTTGTTGCCACAACACTTGTCTACAACATCAAAAATTATCCTCCCACCCCCACCGAGCTGACAGCCTGCTCTCTGTTTATGAATCTGTCTTTAGTTTGCTTGTTAGTTCAGTTTGTTTGTTACATTCCACATTTGAGTGAAATCATATGGTATTTGTTTCTCTCTGACTGACTGATTTCACTTTTGGGGGATTGGAGGGATGAAGCAAAAAAGAAAACTCATGGACAGAGTACAGTGTAGTGATTGTGGGGCGAAGGGGGTGGGGTGGAGGTGGAAGTGGGTATGGGGAGATAAATGGTAATGTGGAAAATACAATAAAAAGTGCTATTAAAAATAAATAAATGATACTTAAAAAATAAAACATCAAAAATTAACTTGTAGAGATCAGGGATTCAGTTCTTTGATACTCCATGTAGATTGTGTTGACTTGGGGGATATACTCTAGTCATATATGATGGTGGATTCCCCAAAATGGACTTTATTTATAAAAGATTGTGTATTCTTACATGTTTAAACTTCAGTCATCTTCAAAGTACTCTCTATTTGATGCAATGTACCTATCAAGACTTTTTTCCCACTGCTCAAAACAGTTTTTGAACTCATTGATTTTGATGCCTTTTAGTGCCTCTTCTGTTTTTTGTTTTACCTCTTCCACATCAGCAAAACATTTCTCTTTGAGGGATTTTTTCATCCATGAAAATTAAAAAAAATGTCACTTGGGAGTGAGATGGGGTGAATAGGGAGGGTGGGCATGGGGGTCATGCCACTTTTGATCAAAAACTGCTGAACACTCAGTACACTGTGGGCACTTTTAAATAACATATCATGAAATGGGGAAGTGCTCAGAAAGAGTCTTCAAAACAAATTTGCTGAAGCCTAATGGCAGCCTCTCACAACAGCGCCAGCTGGTGCGCTGACACAGACGGGTTCCTAGAGCACTCACCTAGTCGGGGAAGCCTCTACTACAAGGGGCCCGCCCTCCAGAAGATAATTCTGGTATTTTTGGGCTCTCCTCTTGTATTCTCTCTCTTTTCCCTCATTCTATTTTTCCCCAACTCTAAAGTGATATTACTTGCAAGCATTTCCTTTGAAACAGAAGATTCAATTTGCTTGAGAATTTTTGAAATAATTAGGAAAATGTTTCAGTTTCACTAAACCAAGGTTAATAAATTACTCATCTAAGCATTTAGCTTCTTAAATGTTAAATTGAGTTTTTAATGAGGAATCTATTAACTATTATTGTGGCAGCATATTTTTAATTTGGTAAATGTGTTCTATGTTGCATTTTAAAGTAACTGTTCTTTGGAATATGACATTTAATGAATCCAAGTGGCTATCTGTGGTCACTGAGAAGGAAAAGGTCCCATTCCAATTATTGTAAAAGCATTTTGTTCTACACATTGGCTATTTGTCATAAATATGACTATCTTGTACTAAAGGTAAACTTTTTCTGATATTGGGCCATAACTGCTAAAATGATACTTTACTAGTGATTACTTTTAAAATTAAACCCATGTATTAAGCCATAAAATGTCTTGAGGGCATTGTAAATAAAATGCTGTAATTATGAAGTGTTTTAATTACAGTCCCTAGTGTGAGCATAGAACTCAGTAAAATTTTTACTTCAGTTCTTACTATGTTCATGTTTTTTCCCTTTAAAGTTGTTTGAGTCTTAAGTAAAAAAGGGGAGCTTCAGCTTTTAAAGTCATTTGAGCAAATTCCATGACTGTTCTCCCAGTTAGTGAGTGTTCACTGCATTTGCAGCAAGCTAATTGCTTCTGCTAATAAATAATCTAAAATCGATGCTGACAGCAGTTAATTGGCACAGAGATTTTATTTTGTAAAGCTCTTGCTAACGACCTTCTTTAAATTAATAGCATTAAGTGCTATGAGGAAATAAATCTGAGGAATTGCCTGTCATTTGCTTGTCATGTCTAATAACTTCCAATAATGATGGCTGATAGATTTTTGCACATTCCATTATTGAAGTTGGTGCATGTAATTATTCTCCTCATTATATGTAAACAATTAGCAATATTTGGTATTTCCTTGCAGTAAAACTGTTAAGTACAAGTAACATATTAGAGGTTAGAAGTTATTTTAAAATTTGGATTTTAATTATTTGAATGTAGGAAGTCTTTCATGCTATCTGGATATATTATGTGCTGTTTATTTTAAGCCTTATGCTTGAACGCTTTTTGAATAGGACTTATAAATAGTGGGTGTTTTAAAATGTGACAATTTATGGAAATCTTTGTTCTCAGCTTGAAGAAGTCATGGAAAAAGAAACTTATAAAACGGCTAAATTAATTCTTGAAAGGTTTGATCCAGACTCAAAGAAAGCAAAGGTAAGGTTGTGATATTACTGCTATTTTATTATAATTTGCACATTGTAATAGGTCACCGTACTAACATCATTGTAATTGACAGGAGTTTGAGCCGCCATCTGCTGGAGCAGCTGTAACTGCAAGACCTGGACAAGGTAAATAACTTTGTAGAAACTGCTGCTGCTGTTGGAAAGATCCATATTTGCCCAAGTGAGTTCAAAAGTGTGATAGAGGTGTATAAAAACTTACGTAGAATGTTTTTATGTTAATTTTTATTTGGTAATTTGGGAATGACTTGGAGTGATGGCAATAAATTTATTTTTTTGATTTTATAGGATTATGTTGATAAAGATGTTATCTGTTGAGACTAAATATACAATTGGCTTTTGAAATTTAAGTAATTTCACCAATATTTTGTAAGGTTTTTTTCGCTTTAATTGTATTTCTTGGAATATCTGTTATTAAATTTTTTGAATGTTTTTATGATATATTTTTGAGGTAAACTTAATGAAGATTTTTAATCAAATTTGAAATTGCTTCTAAAATAACACTTATTTAGAAAGGGAATAAAATTATTTAGAAATGAGGAAACACTGAATTACTGCTGTATAATAACATTAACTCATTCTTTTGGAGGTTATATTGCCAGATTATTAATGAAATCTTCACTGTTATGTCATTAGTTATGTACCTTTTAAAAAGTCATTATTGTAAGTGGTTACATGAAGTTTTCCTAAGACTGGTATGTGAAAAGATATTTTTGAGTTTGCATTGGCTTCCGTCTTCGTTTCCTTTTTTAGAATATAGTAATATAGTGTGTAGGGTTTTTGTTACACTATAGAATATACGGTTTTAAAAAAGTTTAACATCTATTCTTATGAATCATCAGAATTGTAGCCTGGTTTATAAAGTTAGGATTACATTTACCTTTATAAAAGTTAACTTTATACAAGTTGTGGACATTTATAAAAGAACTTTGAGAAGTCAGTTCTTTTATGCATGTCCACAAAGACTATGGGTACTAATAGTTTTATATTATTTAATAGCAGAGCAATATGGCAAGAATCCCACCCTTTCTCTTATTCCATAGGTATGATTTTGGTTTTTAGATTTATTAGCCTGCTCTTTTGATAGATTTGAAAGTACACATGGTTAATATAAATTAGGCATAGATACTTGCAATGAAATTCCTACTTTTACAATCAGCTTAAATTTTTCTACAATTTATACTTTGTAGTAATTATAAAAACCACTTTTTGGCCTAGAGGCTAGGTTTCTATAATTTTTGTAGTATTTTGTATAACTGGGGACACCCAAGGATATGTTGTTCATTGATTTTAGAGAGGGAGGGAGGGAGTGTGGGAGGGAAGAGGAGAGAAAGAGAGGGAGAAGGAGAGATGGAGAAACATTGGTGTAAGAGAGAAACATAGATTGTCTGCCTCCCATACACTGCAACCAGGGATTGAAACCACAACTTAGGCATGTGCCCTGCCTGGTAATCAAAGCTGGACTCTTTCTGGTGTGTGGGATGACCCTCCAAAACTGGAGTCACTCAACCAGGGCCAGAAATACTTTTTAAATAATCTTAATGGGTGTATTTGTAAAATGTGGTATTTTGCAGAAAGCTCTTACTAGCAATTACTTTAAAAAAATCTGTTTTTTCTCTTTTACTGAAAAAGTACAGATGTATGATCCTTTTATTGCCATTCTTAAGTAGTTATTAATATTTAAGGAACGTAAGTTCCTTCAAGAAGCTAAACTTATCTTTCCTTAGAAGCTTTGATATTCAAATAAATTTTTTTTCTTCCGATGTCATGTCATAATTATAGAAAAATCATTGCTAGACCCTCTGCTTTAGATTTCTGTGGCACTGCTTTTAAATATTCTTTTTTGGGGAATTAACACTTAGTTATATATAAATGAATTGTTCATTTAAAAGACTGTATTAAATAACTCATGTGCAGACACCGTGGAGAATAAAGAGATGATTATATTTTTTGACATAAGATGCTGATAACTTTTTCTTTTTAAATTTTTTCTGGAGTATATTGGATTATGTTTTTTGACATTAAGATGCTGATAACTTTTTTTTTTAAAATTTTTTCTGGAGTATATATAGTATTCCTGGCTATTCCAGGTTTATTGTAATTAACTGCTGTTTGGAAGTAAGGTGGTGAAAAACAGTTAATTTTGGATATGTGTGCTTGCAATGACTATTAGGCAGACATTCAAGTGGAGATATTAAGGAAGCAGTTGAGTATGAATCTGGCAAACAGGAATTATCTGGGCTACAGATACAAATTTGGGCATCATCAGTATGTGGATGGTATTAAAACCATGAGAATGGAGGAGGTTAACAAGGATATAAATGTGGTAAAGGAAGAGGATCAAGGCTACCCTAGGGCATGCTGACATTAAGAGGTTGGGACTAATGAAAACCAGAAAAAGAAACTGAAAAGAAGTGGTCAGTGAGATAGGAGACCCAGGGGAGTGTGAAGTCCTGGACGTTAATTGAAGAGAGCATTTCAAGGTAGTGATCATCTGTGACAAAAACTGCTGCCAAAGTAAGTTGAGGACCAAGAATTGACCATCGATATTTTAGCAATGTTTGAAGTCCTTGGCGACCTTGAAGAGATCAGTTTTTGGTGGAAGAATGGGCAAAGCCTGATTAGGCTGGGTTTAAAAAAGTACGGAAATAGAGATGTTGAGGACAATTTGAAGCGAGAATTCTTTTGAATAAAAGGCAGTGTAAAAATGTGTAGCTGGAGGTAGAAGCATTTGCATGTATGAGTCAACATGCTGTAGAAAGAAATGATAGCATGTTTGCGTGTTACTAGGGATGTCCTGGAGGATCTGGAATATTTGATGATGAAGGAGGGAATGGGGACAACTGTTGGAGAACTTTTCTTGAGGCAAGAAAGGATGGGATTTAGGGTACAAGTTGAAGAGTGGCTTTTGATAGGAGTGTGCACAGTTCTTCTATAGTGAGGAGGGAAGACATGGATAAATATTGGTAGGTGGTGGGAATTTTCTTCTGTCTTTATCTACTTTCTTAATGAGGATGGGGAAGATGTTGGAGTAAAAAATGTTTTATTGATTATGCTATTACAGTTGTCCCAATTTTTCCCCCTTTGCTGCTCTCCACCCAGTACCCTCCATTGCCTCTAGCAGTCTCCTGGACACCCCCCCCCACACCCCCATTTCATGTCCATGTCCATGGGTCATGCATATAAGTTCTTTGGCTAGTCTATTCTTAACATCCTCCTGGTCTATTCTGTACCTACCAATGTGTACTTCTCTATCCCTGCACCTTTTCCCCCTTCTCCCCCTTCCCCATCATGGCTTATAACCCTCCAAATGATCTCCGTATCTGTGATTCTGTTTCTGTTGTGCTTGTGTGCTTAATTTGTTTTGTAGATTCAGTTGTTGAGAGTTGTGAATTTATTGCCATTTTAATGTTCATAGTCTTGATCTTCTTTTTCTTAATAAGTCCCTTTAACATTTCATATAATAATAGCTTGGTGAAATAATGGGAACTCCTTTGTAGGTAATTATCTGCTTTTCTCTTGCTGCTTTTAAGATTCTCTCTTTCTCTTCAACCTTTTGCATTTTAATTATGTTGTTTCCTGGTGTGATCCTCTTAGAACCTGTGTTTTCTGGACTTGTATGTCTATTTCCTTCACCAACTTAGGGAGGTTTTCTTTTATTTTTCTTTCAAATTGCTTTCCAATTTCTTGCTCTTTCTCTTCTCCTTCTGGCACCCTTATGATGTGAATGTTCAAACACTTGAAGCTGTCCCAGAGGCTCCTTAGCCTATCTGTGTTTTTTGCCAGGTGTTTTTTGTTGTTGTTGTTGTTGTTTTTTGCGGGAGGGGTTTTTTGAGGGGGGAGGGGAGATGCTTCTTTCTTCTTCTTCTTGCTGTTCTGATTGAATGTTTTTCCTTTCTTATGTTCCAAATCACTGATCTGATTCTCGGCTTCATCCACTCCACTGTTGGTTCTCTATAAACTTTTCTTTATTTCGCTTAGTGTAACCTTTATTTTTGCCTGGGTGTCTTTTTTATGCTGTTGAAGTACCCAATGAGTTCCTTGAGCATCCTAATAAGCAGTGTTTTGAGCTCTGCGTGTGATAGATTGCTTACCCCCATTTTGTTTAGTTCTTTTTCTGGCGTTTTGATTTGTTCTTTCATTTGGGCCATGTTTCTTTGTCTCCTCATTTTTGCAGCCTCCCTGTGTTTGTTTCTATGTATTAGGTAGAGCTGCTTTGACACCCTGTCTTAGTAGCATGGTCTATTTTAGAAAGGCTGGGTGGGGCAGAGCCTGAGGTAATTGCCATGGTGGGGCAACCTGTGTGAATCAGGTTGCTGGAGTCTGATACAGTATTGCAGCTCTGTGGCTCTGTGTGGGGGAGATGGCTCAGAAAGCAGACAATGCAGCTGTTTGCCCTCTGGAGTTCTGTTAGAGAGGAAGCTGTCCCATGGCGCTCGCACTGATGCCAGACACTTCAGTTTCCTCCTATATGCCACTGCTGCCCTTTCAGCTACTGCCCTAGTGCTGAAACCCAGAGGGAGGGAGTCTGCATAAGTCCTAAGTCCATTTTGGGCCCTTTAAATAGCAGATTCCTGAGACTACCACAGTTTCTTCCGTTGTCCCAAACCCCACTGATTTTTATAGCCAGAAGTTATGGGGACTTAGGTTCCTGTCATTAGAACCCTGGGCTGCGTGGCCTGGTGTGGGTTTGGGATCCCTTGTCTCTGAGGTATCCCTCCTGATTTTTATTCACCACAGGTGGATCTGAGACCGCCCATTCTGCGTCTCTGCATCTCTGTGCCTCTCCACCCCTCCTGCTCATCAAGATGAATGTTGCTTCTTTAACTCCTTTGTTGTTGGACTTCCATACAGCTTGATTTTTCTGACTATTCTGGGTAATATTTCTTTTGTAGTCTAGTTGTAATCTTTGCTGTGGTTGCGTGAGGAGGTGAGCTGTATTTGCCTATGCCTCCATCTTGGCTGGAAGTCTAAAAATGCTTTCTTGAGATGCTTTTCTTTTTCATTTTTTAATTTGATGAACTGCCGGAAGCTCCAGAAGGCATCATTGTTCATCGTTATGGCCCTAAATGTAACTTCACATTATATTTTATTCAGTTCTTTAAAGT